ATCTTCTTCGAATAAGTCTTCCTTATATATTCACTATTACACTGAATACAGGGAGAAAAAAAAGTATTAGAAAAGGCTATCACAGATTATGGCAGATAATCAAGGCCATGACAGAAAGGCAACAGAAAAACATACATATGAAAGGAAGCATGTATAAGAAATCTCAAAGAAGGAAAATGGGTGAGGATGAGCAAGTAATAAACACTGTAAGGTTTAAACTCCCCTGGGGCAGCAAGAATGCAGACTGAACTGAAGTGTGAAACATTCACTTGATTATTTGCCTGGAAGAATAGCGTTTACATTAGGTATGTGGGGAAGAGGAGACCAAATATGAAAGAGAAAAAACATCTTTCCCTAAGAAATTTGTATTCCCTAAAAACACATGATTTCATAAAGGAAAAACTAAATGTGTACATGGAACGTATGTAGTTATTTGTAGATTTTAAAAATAACACGTTACAGGTTAAAGAAAAAGATAAGAGACTATCAACCCATGTATATAGTAATACAAGGAGTATTTAAAAAAAATCAACAGCTTTCATATATTCTACTATATGCCTCCATTTATATCAAATGATGCTTTTCTTCAAGTTCAACTTGTCTCCCCTCCTTCTCTTAATGGATTTCACCAAGCACCATTCTGAACCTGCAAATTAAATTTTGGTTCAACCTTCAAAATGATGTAATACAAAGCAACCAGGACAGTTCAATACCATTTTCTCATGGTTCCTTTATAAATAGCAATATATTAGACAAAAGATTAAATGAATGTATGAATCATTTGATCATCCTCTCCCCTCCCTAAATGCAGCCACCTTCCAGAAGGAGTTTAAGTGTCAAAGCAATGCTGAGGACATCAAAACTCCTCCACAAGTGATTAAATGGTTATGTATTCCCCATATTTATACAGCCTTGCGCTAATTTGTGATATGGCCACAAAAAGAAAAGAACTACAAATGATTCTACAAATGATCAAGGGGGGGGAAACATGAAGATGTACGTGGTACAAAAAGAGGTCAGTAGGGCAGAGGGTAGACTACAAAATATTATCTAAATGGAAACAATATGGTATGTTCAAAAATGAAATCTTAAAGAGATGGAAGTTGGCTTTGTAACAATGTACTTCTGTAACATATTACCTCTGTTTGCCATAAAGATCTCCAGGGCTGTATTTTGCAAAAGATAACGACGAGAAAAGATTGATCGTATCTCTGTGAACAGCCATTTTCCATGCAGCCCTTCTGTGTATGCCAGGATCTAGTCAGGAAAAAAATAATCCCAAGTAAGTGACAATACTAGGAGGTTTTTTTGTTTTGTTTCTTTCTCCAATAAAAATAGAAGAAAACCATATTGAAATTTTTTCTAAGAAAAAGAATTTAATAGTTACTGAAATAATTGAAAGAGAGACTAAGAAAATTGATTGTAATTTATGGGAAAGAAGCTTAAATAAAAAAGCAAGGTAAAATTATAAAACATCTAACTAGAAGTATGTATTTGGGCCTTTAAAAACAATGATATAATCTATCACTTCTCAGGAGTACATATTGGATCATTTATTTATTGATTTTTAAATCATATTATAGAAAATAAAGTTTTGGATAAAAACTTATAAACAAGGAAGACCTCAAAAGAATGTCATACATGCTTATAAATCACACATACAATTCAGTATCACGTATTCATATGATTATAACTTTCCCAGTAGTACTTTTTACATACTTTAAGATACATAGTTCATAACTTTAAAAAAATGATACTTTTAAAGTCACTGTTAAGGCCACAGTCACTTATTCAGAAAGCACAAATACTGACTGTGTAAGAGGTTAAGTATCATTTTGTCAGCTAAGACTAAACACAAACCTGCAAATGAACTCAGTATAATCTCTCTGTGGAGTAGGTGGTTGTCAGAGTAACTTGTCACAATTCTTGTCATCCCATGTGACAGACACAGTTGCTTAAAATGCTTTGCCAATTCAAAGTAATCCTGTCTTTAGTCCAAAACCACTTCATTGCTTTGTTATTCAAGTTTTGTTTTTTCAAAAAGTTCATTCCAAAAGCTTAATTATGAAAGTGTTAAAGGAAAACCAGATTCAGCATTTCTCCATACCAGTACTGTACATAATATTAATAAAGAAAATGTAATGCATTTGCTATCAAATATGATGAAAATCTATGAAAGAATATTAAGTTTAAAAATTAAGATATATCACTCAAAAGTAACCACCAATAAAAAAATACAAATGAAGCAACACTTGATTATGATATTGCACTATAGGGATAAAGATGAGATGAGCAAAGAGAGAAAAAATAATGAATAGTAAAAATGTATCCCTTCACAAACTGTTCTTTTCTTTACTTATTTCCATTTTCCAAATCCTAATTGGAAACAAATCTACATTCTTTAATGCGAAATTCAGTTTCTTTGAAAAAAATCCCAATCCTTACTTAATTAGGTAAGTATGTATTTTAATTTTTCTACAAAAGTGATTTCTGGCAACATGGAACCTGGAAATGGAAAGAATGGGTACGAGGCTAAGGCACGGCATTTTCTGCAACAAAACAAGAAGTTCAAAGGACAAGACAACTAATCATGCTTTCAGTTTTGAAATCGGTGATAGAGACATCCTACTAACTCAGTAATATAACCAATACCTGTATAAGTAAAATCAAGAGAAGTGAACAGGAAACAGAGGACAAAAATACTAATATAACTCTCAAGAAATTTTAAAGCAGAGGTTGCTTGTATCCCTTTCTTTTACCATGACCAGAGATACCACCAGTTGGTCCAAACCTCCACAGTCCACAGAGGCTTCCCATTTGGTCTCTCTCCTTCTATTCTTACCTCTCGAGTTTACTATGACCAGAGAAGCATCTCACACAGTTTTTAAAACATAAATCAGATCATATCACTCTTGTATTAATACCATCCAGTGACTTCCCATTACATGTATAATAAACTCTTAGGCTTGTTATAATTGTTTATAAAGCCATACATCTGGGACTCTCTGATGAGCCCAACTCATTCTTCCTCAAGACCTTGTTTTCTCTTTGTTTTCCCCTATGCCTGGAATATTCTCTCAAATCACCACATGGTTGGCTCATTGTCACACTTAGATTTCTGCTCTTATTTCACCTCCTCAGCAAAGCCACAGGATCTAAACCCCACTTCCTCTATTACTACCTCATCCCATCCTAAACTCATCAGATTTTCTTCATGACTTATCACTACCTGAAATTATATTACTTGCTTGCTTGTTTATTGCTTCTTCAGCACTAGAATACTAGAAGCTAGGTTCTATCAGAGCAAAGACTTTAAATACACTCTATTTCCATTGCCTATAAAAATGTCTGGCACAAAGTACACATTTTTTGAATGATTAAATGAATCATTGCATAGCACCCTAAACTCCATATACAGCCCACATGTTTGGCCCATATGATGTTTTAACAAAATTTCAAGTAGTAGAAAATACGTGAGAAAATGGATATTTACATAAATATTCAGATTTCTGGCTTCTTAAGAAAAACTGGGGTATCTGGCAAAACTGGATCTATGTGCCACATGGTGACAATTGGCATCCACTCCCCATTTTGGTGCCATTTCCACTTCACTCATTACTGTTTACTAATGTGAAATGAGCATTCACTCACTTACTGTTATTTACATCGTTTCTATCGGTTTTTTGTGTTTACCATCCTGGGTTTATCAAATATTAGAGAATTCAGTATATGTTCAGAAACACTTATAGTCCTATGTATTCAACGATTCTATTCATAAGAAAAATGAGGCCCAGACACATTAAATACTTAAAATGAAGTCCCTTGGCAAATTAATTGCACAGTCTGGCCTACTCCCAGGTTTTCTAATCCAAAACTCCAGAGCTTCCATTACATACCACTTTGTCACATTTCTAAAAGGTTAAAGGCTGGGCATGGTGGCTCATATCTGTAATCCCAGCACTTTGGAAGGTTGAGACCACAGACCAGCCTGGACAACATAGTGAGACCTTGTCTCTACAAAAATTTTTTTTAAAAATTAGCCAGGTATGGCAGCGTGTGCCTAAAGTCCTAGCTACTTAGGAAGCTGAGGCAGGAGGATCACTTGAGCCCAGGAGTTTGAGGTAACTCTCATTGTACCACTGCCCTCCAGCCTGGGCAACACACTGAGACCCTGTCAATTAATCAATAAAACAGGTTAAATATTTGTTACTAGAACCCAACTTATTGGAAATTTTAATCAACTACATTTGTTTTCCTGTACTTGGCTTAAGGGCGAAAGAGGAAAATCAAAAGAAAACATACAACAAAGGATCCTTTAAGCTCTGTTATATGCTAGGAATATCACACAATGGTCTGAAAATTATACCTTTTATATCTATAGAACTATATAATAAGACTTGTTGCTTATAATGGTGAATCCAATCATTGCAAAGTCATGGTCATGTAAATAAAGATTTAATTATAATCTATAATACTCCACTTACTAGCAGAAATGAGTATATTTTGCCATATTATTACATATATATAAGAAATTAATAAAAGCATTATAGTGTTGAAATTTTCATGTATAACCATTTCTGCTCCCTTTTTCCTACTTTGTCAGAGCCAACCACTATCTTTGTTTTGAGGTTTATTATCCCCACGTAAGTTTTTCTATTAGTACCTATATAACATAAATAACATCCAGCACTGCCTTGTATGTTTTCAAACCTAATATAAAGGGTATCATACTGAATGCGTGCTTTCCAAGTTAAATGTAAGAAGGTGTAATAAAGTTTTAAAACTCGGAAAAAGAAAAACACGAGACAGAAAATTACTTAAAATTGCCAAAGGTGTCAAAAATTAAAACATTGCACAAAAAAATAGCCTTAATTTTTGAAGGGAGAGATTAAGTAATGAATTTCTACAATTATAGTCAAGATAGATGGGGTTAAAAATAGAAACGAAGAATCTCTTAACTAAAGAATTACTAGTTGAAATTTATATAATAACATTTCTTCAAAGTATTCATCAGGAAAAGGTGTCAGTACTGAAAAACAGCTGAGGCCTAGCTAAGCAAGAGGTTCATTTCTTATTGGAATAGTATATGCCTGGTCTGAGGATTCACTTCAAAGTCTCTAGAGTTCAATTAAAACTGGATTAGGTAGAAGCAGACCCTTCTTTGGGACTTTCTGTTCACTGAAACTCTACGTACACTGACAGCACCCTAGACAGAGGTCTAGCCCTCCAATGAATCAGTTGCCATGGAAACTGTATCATTACCATTGCTCTGCAGTTATGACCCCAACTCTAGAATAGCTTGAAATCTTCACTCTATTTCAATGTTTACCACCTTGTTTTATTGTTAGTATTATCAATGAATTAAACGTCCAATTTTTTTATAATTTGTTTCAACAAAGCTGGCTTATTAGTTAAATGTTAAGGTAAGGGTGTCAGAGAGGAAAGAAAGAAATCAGTATTTGATTTATATATATATTATATGCATATATATTCTATTGCTTTACATTTAAAAATCGAGCATATTTTCTTTAAAATTTTTGTTTAAAAATTGTGCCTTCTGAAAAAGGATATATTATTTTCCCCAAATAATGCACACATTTCTTCCTTCTACTCTACAAACAGTATACTATCAATACATAAGAAATTTTTTTGACCTTGTTGCATTTATTCTTAGTAAAAGTAAAGCATTTCTCACTTTCCCTTTACCAGTCCATTTTGCAAAAGCTTATGAATTTATCCAAATGAAACTCTCTTTTGTTTTATCATTCTCACGAAAGAACAAAAATAGAAACCTGCATTTATTGCCCAACTATATGATACTCTTATTTATTGAATATTAGACATTTTTAAAAGTAGGTTTAAAATGGTTAAAGCCACATTTAAGTAAAGAAAAAAGGAGGTTTTATTTAAAAAACTACAAAAGTTAC